GCACTTCTTAAAAAGCTTGTAGAGAAGTTAGAAAATAAAAAAGTTCTTCTTGTTCTTGATGATGTGTGGGAGGAAGATCCTGATAAGTGGAATAATTTCAGTTCTCGTTTGTCAAAAATTTTGAAAACCACTGGGAATTCAATTATTGCAACAACTCGTAGTGATAAGGTAGCATCCATAATGGAGAGACTTCCTATGCGTAGGCATGATACAAAGAAGCTAGAAGATAATGAATGTTGGTTGATAATTGAAAATGTAATTAGATCATCCAAAACAACTTCATTACCTTTGAATTTAGAAGGTATTGGACGGAAAATTGCCAAAAAATGTGGAGGGTTGCCATTAGTTGCTAGTGTCATTGGAGGAACTTTAAGTCGTGAAGTAAAGGCAGAAAAGTGGCAAGAGATCCTAGATGATAGTGCTTGGGTTTTGCAAGAAGAAAATAAGAAGATTTTAGCAATATTAAAAATAAGTTTTGACCGTTTGCCCTTGCTTTTGAGAAAATGCTTCTCTTATTGTTCTATTTTTCCGAAGGATTTTGTCATTGCAAAGGATGATTTAATTCAACTCTGGATGGCTCAAGGGTTTGTTCATGGATCTAATGAAAGCCTTGTGAAAATGGAGGATACTGGTAATGAGTATTTCAATGAGTTGTTATCTAGTGCTTTATTCCAAGATATTAAATGGGATTCATATGGTAACATTGAATCTTGCAAAATGCATGATCTAGTGCATGATCTTACATTACTTGTTTCAAAAGGTGAGACCTTGGTTTGGGATGCTAGTTGCAATTTTGATGTTCAGAATTGTAGTACTATTCGACATTTGAGAGTCGAGTCCAATGGAGAGGGTCTTCCAACCATTCCAAGAAGTGTTGCTCAAAGGTTGCATTCTTTGTTTTCAAATGTTGATGTTTTTTGTAGCATGGCGTCAGATCTCAAAAGCTTGCGATCCTTGAAATTAAAGGGAGGTGGGAAAAAGTTGCCAGCTTCTCTTGGCAAATTGAAGCATTTGAGGTACCTTGGCATCTCAGAAACTTATGTCAGAACAGTACCAAAATCCTTCTCCGAGCTCTATAATTTGCAGACTTCAAAATTTGTCAACTGCTATGAGCTTGAAAAGCTTCCCAATGGCATGGCAAATCTCATCAACTTGAGGCATATCTATTCTAGTCGTCCAAGGGATATATCTATCATGCAATTAACTTCCCTTCGAACATTATCACACTTTGCTGTGGGCACAAAAAAGGGATGCCAGATTGAACACCTTGGATGGTTAAGCCAACTTGAAGGAAAACTAGAGATTTCAAAGCTTGAATATGTAAGATCCAAATTAGAAGCCTCTAAAGCAAACTTGAAAGAAAAGACAAAATTGCATCAATTGAAATTATGCTGGAGTTATGAAAGAGCAGTCAACAACAACAACGATGAAGGGGTTCTAGAATGCTTTCAACCTCATTCAAATTTGAAAAGCCTCACTATTGATGGTTACAAAGGAAAGATGTTCCCATCTTGGATGGTGAATGATGTCAATAGTTCTGGTTCTTCATTCCTTCTTGGCAACATGGTGGAGTTGGAGTTAATTAATTGCTATGAGTGCACGTGTATTCCGAGTTTGGGACTAATGCCTTGTCTCAAGGTTCTTTACATTGCAAGCATGGCAAATGTTAGAAGAATGGGTCACGAGCTTCAGCCCAATGGAGCAGAATCAATCAGATTGTTCCCAGCTTTGGAAAAACTCACCGTGCATGGCATGAAAAGGCTAGAGGAATGGGTTGAAGTTGTTGAGGATGCAGTTGCAGGGAGCCAAGGTGTGATCGCGTTTCCTTGCCTTGAGGAGTTGCTGATTTCTGGTTGTCCCTTGTTGGAGACTTGGTCGATGGGTGGATTTTCATCTCATCACAAGCTCTCAGAGTTGCGGATAGAATGGTGTTCGAAACTGATGGCTATCCCTGGTGTAAATGGGCTCTCAACTCTTAAAAAGTTAGAGCTCAAGGGCTGTAATGGATTAGGAAGTCTGCCAATTGGGCTTGGATCCTGCATCTCTCTTCAGTTCTTGCGAATTGAAAGTTGCAAAAATCTGAATTCCGCTCTAAGTATGAATGGACTCACATCTCTTGAAGGCCTCTACCTTTTTCGTTGCGATGGATTAACTTGTCTTCCAATTGGGCTGGACTCATGCATTTCATTTCAGGCATTGAAAATTGAATTTTGCCCTAATTTAATTTCCATTGCAGAAGATATCAGGAAATTGCGTTCTCTCAGTTTTCTTACAATCAGAGACTGTAAAAATCTAAGGAGCATTTCAGAGGAGTGGCTAGAGAGCCTCACACGCTTGAAGAAGTTACTCCTTGGTCCTTTCTGGTCGGAGTTGCAGGAATTCCCAGGATTGACCTCCATTTATCAGTCCCACGCCTTGCTTGAAGTATTGATCTTGTTCGGATGGGATAAACTAAAGTCTCTGCCACATCAGCTTCGACATCTCACTGCCCTCAAGCAATTGAGGTTACAGGACTTCAATGGTCTGGAAGCTTTGCCAGAGTGTTTGGGAGACCTCTCTTCTCTTCACAGGCTGGAGATTTGGAATTGCTCTAATTTGACTCATCTGCCTTCTATTGAAGCCATGCGACGCCTCTCCAACTTACAGTATCTTCGCATTTTGGATTGTCCCAAATTGAAGAAAAGATGCGCCAAAAAGAGGGGCCGCGAATGGTCCAAGATCTCCCACATTCCCAATATTGAAATCCATGACAAAGACGTGCAGGGGAAATACGAATATTTCAATGGTATGTTTAATTTTTGAAGCCCTAATCCCTTCATTCCACATCATTTAAGTATTACGCTAATCAGAAATTTAACACTGGAAAGCATTTCTTTATAATCTTTTACTTTGGAAAAAAAAAAACACGTCCTCTCCTCTAAAACATATTATGTTATTCAAATAATCAAGTTGTAGTCTTTGACCAAATTTCGGTGATTCGTGCAGATTGGTTCTAAATATTTATGCGAATCTGCTCAGGCCTCAGGGTTCCTCTAAAGCTAGTGAGTTCCTGAATTCCTTTCTGCTATCCTTTTATTCATTTTTATTTTCATTCCAATTCCATAGCTATGTTTTTTTTTACCAATAGGTCCTTTGTTATTTTCATAATTCTTAGGCATCAATCACTCGAGTAGCCATGGCCTAATTGTGAACTAATGCATAATCAGATGCTTAGATTAGCCAACTGTAAATTTCTAATGGAGTAGAAGACTAGCAAGACTAACAATCAAAAGCTATCATTTTTGAGGTCAGCTTTCTTTTCTCCATGATCCAAGTTTTTAGTTTTTGAGTATGATTTGTTTTATTCTTTTGTGTATTTCTTTGTTCAATTCAGTTTTGTTCAACTATGTTTATTAAACTAATTACAGGCAATCTAATTTTCTCGCTCTAAAACTTAAAAAATATCATGATGACTGGAGGGAATTTTCACACTGGGGAGCCAATCAGATGAGTAGTCCTCTCTTTGAGTTGTTGAGGCTCATAAACAGATTTAGCTATTCTACAGACACGTAGTTTTTGAATTATGACCACATTTTGAGGTGCAAGTTTGCTGGTTTATAGACATCTGTCTTGCTGATCAAAGTCTTGAGCTGTCTCAGATTGTCAGTTTAAGTGGACTGCCTTGCAAAGGTGGGTTGTAAAACTAAAAATCATCTTTTAATTAAGATTTGATTTTATTTTGGTAGGATTTGACTTCATTTTAGTGATTATGATTCACCAATAAAAGTTACATATAAGTTTAGCAAACAAAATATTCTTCTTTACTTGGTTAAGGAATGATCTGTAGAAATCTCTATTGCCATATTTTCAATAATGGTTGTTGAAATTTCTTCAGGTTACCATGCCAAATGCCTTATCTGTTGTGCAAACTGAATTGTTAATTTTTCTATGGCTCTCTTGTAAGTGCCAAAACCAGAGTTCCTCTAGGTTTGTCTTGTTATTTTGAAGCCATATGTGGCCTTAATCGATTTATAGATTTGATGAGTTTAATTTCATGTTAAGTCAAAACTTTAAGCAAAGAATTTATTCCATTCAGGTTAGAGATTATGGTGTTTTTGCACTCGCTACTTTGCTGACTGTTAATGATCAAATATGGAGTCTGGAGTCCTTATGACTTTGTGAACTGCAACATTTTGAGAGCATGCTTTTCCCATTGACAAGAGCACTGCAAGTTCACTAGTATAAATGATGGTGGTAGTCCTTTCAGTTTTTCTTGGATCGTACAGATCCTGGTGCCATAGATTCTGTGTGCACACATTTTGCAGTAGTGAGGAGAGCATTGAATTTTACTTGAAATTAACCAACAAATCAACTCTTCTACCATTTCGCAGGCTCTTGTGGTTTTATGGTAGAATATCTCATTCAATTGCCAACAAACAAGGAAGATGGTTTGAATCTAAAACATATTATACCTGGTTTGAATAAATTCTCCGTACAACTTTGACTTTGATGATGTAATAATGGACATTCAATCAACAAATGGAGTGAAGAGAAGCTGACAATGAGATCCCTGTGCACCAAGTGATTACTCGTAGGATGGTCTCAATAGCATCAATGTGGTTATGATAGAGTTATAACTTTGTAAGTTTTCTCCTTTAAAAGGCATTCCGATATTTTCATCTTGCTTTGTAGATGTAATTGATGGAAATGAGAAAAAGGCCAACAATCAGCATCTAGGAATCAATGATATTGAACAGCCTGAGATGTTTTGTTTCAGGGATTTATCAAACAATGGCTTAATCAGAGAAGTGCAAAACTTCTGTCTCAGCTAGTCTCATTGAAGAAAATGTAAGTGCCAAGTCCACTTTGAAGGGTTCATTTCTTCTTTTCCCAATTTCTTTTATTTGGTTGTACTTATACATGTAATGGACTCCTAGTCAAAGAAGGGATTATGATGACGGACACTGAAGGCACAAATTGATAAAATGAACTCTCTTTTGTTCTTATTTACTTTTGCTTTGTCCTCTTAACTTTATAATACATGTGTTCTCAATAGATTACTTATAAATTGATAAGTTTGGGTTTGCAGGTTAAATCAAAGCTTAGCTTGTTAGCAATTCTATTTTAGTGGGAGCTTCTAATATATTCCTTGTTTTCTTACTCTGCTAATATCTAGGAGATGGGGAATGCAATGAAAACAGAATGATTGGAGCTGGAATTCAGGATATTTCAGTGTTCATCAAAGCTGGTAAGTCCTTGTCCTCCAAAGTCTCTCTTTTCTTTACACTAATTACATTTTCTTCAGGTTGCTTTGTTCTTAACTTACTTTGTTTCATTCTTATTTCTGATATATTTCATCTTGCTTCTCATACCACTACCAGAAAAACATTTTTGAGAATGCATGTAGCAGTTTCATTTTGATTCATGTCTTGAAAAAGATGCAACAAGATTATATGCTTCACTTTCTAAAATGCGAGGAGCAGTTGGAGATAGAGAATGTGAACAAGAAAAGAAAAAAATACACCAAAAGAAAAGGTGGTGATTATGAAGCAGAAATTAAACTGTGTTGATTACACTTCATTTATTTTGCTTTGCTTCATTTCTAAAGAATAAAATGAACCCTTGTTCCTTCAGTGCCTCTGTTCTTTGTCTTGGAAAAGCTATGGCGGAAATTCACTAAGGCTCATAAAGTGTCTTCAAGCAGATGTGTTTCATTATCCGAACCTGTACCTGTTTCATTCTCATTTGTTCTCAATTTTCTTCTTGTATTACTTGTTTTCTCTTTCTTTGTGCTGTTAGTTGATTATTTGAAGATGATTTTGTAACACTAAATTGATATAGTGGAATTTTTTTTTAATGGATCAGAGGTCCCGTGGCTCTTACTCTCTTCTATTCGAGGAGGTTTTCCATGCAAAAAATTGTGCGTCTCTTATGCTTGGTTGTTTGCTTTAGCCATTCTTATTTGTCTACATATTCAGTTGCTGTCATATAAATTGTTGTAGCCAAGTTTGCGTTGGGTTTTTTTTTTTCTTCTTCTTCCTCTGCAGTTATTTGTTGATCTGAAAAAGGAACTGATCTCATAAACCTTTCAAGTTTCACCTGCCATCTTGAGTCACATTTCGAAATATAGGTCTAATAACAATATTCATTATTTTCCGAACAAAGCCTGTAGGGAGTTTTGTCTAGCATTCCCTGATCTGAGATTCTGCCTTACAGGCAAAATAGAAAATACCGCGCCAAATATATATATATATATATATATATATATATGTATATATTTGTGTAAAATAATTCATACATGTACATATAAGGTGGATTAAGTTGAACTCAAGACTTTTAAGTTACCAAGCTCCTATACATAAAAGATTGATATATCTGATCTGTTTTTTTCTCAATTAATCAAGTTCTTAAGCATAGAAGTTATTCCACTTCAGGTTAGAGATTCTAGTGTTTTTGCAGTTGTATTCTGCTGACTATTTACGACCGAATATGGAAACCTTACTTCTTCTGGCCCTCCAACATTTTAAGAACCTGCTTTCCTATTGACGGCAGTCATAACATTTGTTATCAGTCAGGATCTCCTGTCATGAACACTGCAGCTAACTAGCATAAATGTGTGGCCTATCTTTTGGTTTTTATTGGAAACCTACAGAACTGCACACGCTTTTAAAGAGGTTGAAGAGCTAGCTCTCCTTGTGTGGTCCATTTTTTCTAGAATGCTAATTTACCAGAACCATATATTATATATAGTTTTAAAGCCGACCGATCAATCTTTCCACCGAGCCTTAATGCTCTTGTGGTTTTAAGGTAGAAGATTTCTTGCAATTACCAACAAACCAAGAAGATGGTATCACTTTTCAAACCTTCTTTCCCTGAACTCTAGAACATATGATACATTGTTCTCAACATAGGTGGTTTTCAATCAAATACCTATACCACTAATACTTATTTGATGCAATACCGTACATCAAATGAAATCTATATGGAGTGAAGAGAAACTGGCAACGACCTCTCTGTGCACCTAACAAATAATCACTCATGAGACACAGCCAGTCTTAATAGCTTTTATGTGGTTAAGATCCTCATAGCTAGGAGGAGATGAAGAATGCCATGAAGATGGGATGATTGGAACTGAAATTCAGTATTTTTCTGCACAAAATTTTACAGTGCTCATAAAATCTGATGAACCCTCGAGTACCTCTCTTTTCTGTGCACTAATTACATTTCTTCAAGTTGCTTTGCTCTTAACTTATTTTGTTTTCATTCTTGTTTCTTACATATTTCAACAAGCTTCTCATACCCAGAAAACATATCTGGTCTGAACATGATTATATGCATCACTGTCTTGAGATACAACCACAAACAGTTGAGATGAAGCATGTGAAGGTGATGAAAAGAAACTAATAATCAAGACTTTCGGCTCTCTATTTTTGGTGTGGCGATGTGGGACACACATACACAACCAAACAAGAGAAAAATACACCAAAAAGAAAAGGCAGTGGTTATGAAGCACAAATTAAATTGTGTTGATTGCATTCCATTTAATTTGCTTTGCTTTATTTGTGAAGAATAAACTGAACCCTTGGTTTTTCAGTGCCTCTGTTCGCTTTTTTGGAAAGCTATGGCAGAAATTCACTCAGGCTCATAATGTGTCTTCAAACAGATGCTCTAATATATGTTTCTTTAATTCTCAACTAGAGAAATAGAGATGAAAAAATGATTGAGTAATTATGCCTTTGTATGTGATGGTAGTTGTACAATATTTATACCTTCATTTATAACATCTTTGAAGAAAAATCTCATTAGTTTACTTGTGTTTATTTATCATACAAGTGGCCCTTGGTAATTCAATTGGGCAACTTATTTTGAGTACTGGTAATGTGCTTGGTAGTCGTAGTGAAGTATTGCACAATGTTATTACCACATAGATAGGGTATATTCTTTTGGTTAATCATATATGGTTGAATTATCATGAGAAAATGCTAGAAGTATTGTAATATACAGAGTGCAAATTCCAGCATGACAAATATAACACGGAAACCAAGCAAAAAATATTTAAAAAATTTCACAATAGCTACAAAGGTTTTTTATCCCAAAATGATTTTGAAATGCACAGCACTCTGAGGGCTCCTCTATAATTGCAGCACTGAATAAAAAGCCAAACAGTAGCATAAGAAGGTCAAGCATACCCAGCATATACTTAGCTTGCCAGTGATCTCTATGATTCTAGCTATACAGCTTTATGAAAGACAGTGGTATTCAGCGTTGAAGAACAGACAATTAATGATCAAATATTACAGAAAAGGCTTTCTCAAACAAAAAACCAATTCTCTGTCATGATAGGTAAACTACATCTACACAACACCACAAAAGAGGCTTTTCTATGTACGAAAATAAAATGACACCGGTAATGCAGTGGGCTGCTGGTATTTATAGCAATGGTAGTTATTTGTCCAGTCCTCATCTTTCACTCAAAAAAGCAGTGTTTTGGCCTAAAAAAATTCCTTCCACCAATTTCCTCTACTAAAGGAAATTAGAACAAAGAATACACTGTATGATATTCCTTTCCTGGAACAAAGATTATTGAATTCCTCCTTCATATTTCAATTAAAGAATAAAATTTTACAAATTAATTAGAATTCCAAATCTTCTGCATCTATGTTGGATCATCATTCAACTATCAATCCATACTCAAGTATGGAGGAATCTACTTGTTTATTGACAAATATTTATTAAAAAATTTAAATATGCTAATACTTTTATTTAACTACAATTGATACTCTGAAATATTACCTTCTAAAATCTATTTCAGATGCTCAAGCTAGCTCTTTTCTTGCTCAGGGACAACATTAACATCGGTGAAAATGGTTGAAAGCAGCAACAAATCAAGCAATTCAGAAATTGGCCGCAATCCTTCGTAGGAATTAGTGCCTGATTCCATTCAACATGATTTCAGAGACTCTCCTCCAAAACTTTTTAGACTCAAAACACATTTCACCATCTATAAATCTCAGGGATGGTAGGACATGCAATCATAGATGAAATGAATTTCATGCAAGTAGCAAACCATAGTAGGATACAACCAAATTAATTTCAAAGTCAGAAAACACACAACATTTAGGAATTTGTTACTTGTTAAACATAACTTGACCCTTATAATTCAGTTTGCATTATTTATTGCATGCTAGTTGGAAGATAAATATTTAACATTGAAAATCATGCAAAGCAAGATAAAGGCATATATGAGTAACTAATACACTAAAATAATAATAACCTTAAGCAAATTAGCCCAAAGCTCCAGCAGTAAAGGTGTGACAGTATCTCCCCAACAAAACCCGAGGCAGCACAGAAAAATTTAATGGGGGTTCATAAACATGAGACATAGAAATACTGCTTCAATATTCCAACAACTTCAATAGAAAAATCACTACCTCTCCAGGCGTGCAAGTTTGAGATCAGCAACAAAAAATGGGAGACACTAAGTATTTACAACTACATAAATAATAGTGGCCATTGTCTACTAACCACAACTAATTATATTACAAATCTCAGGGTTGTATTACCTAAACTTTACAATAAGATAGTTAAGATTATTAGAAATCACATTAATTCAGAAATCTGAAACTAATGAAAAAAATAGTTGCCTAAACCCAAAAAAGGAAAAAAGTTGTCTAAAAAAATATAATTAAATACTTGTTTGCTAAGTAGTTTTGTAGATTAAATATGATATATAGTTGCATATTTAAAGATTGCAGAACATGGAATTCTAGGCTCTAGTCAAGTGGTAATTTTGTAGATTAAATATGATATGACCATCTGCAACCGTGGGCAACTATTAGTATCAATTTCTAGATCACAACCAATCTAACATTAAAGTACATGATGAAATAGAAGACCTGCCAAATTCTAACTCTATTCTTTTTTGATTTCATATCTTTAATTTATTTAAACTTTCAGACTTTTATTCTAACTTATTAAAACTGCTAAGCATGAAGCTATTCAAATCTTCTATTATCATTAGAAGAATGTCTGCACTCAAAAAAGAACAGAGGAAATTTTTAGATTTTCTAAATCTAAAATACCCTTATAGTAACTAAACAGAACATAAAACCAATCAATTCAAACTAAATTAATTAAGCAAATTCCTCATGTTATATTGACTCATTTATTTAAGTCAACCTAGATTAGAAAGAAAGTGAAATTTAAGTTCAAAATTAAGCAGAATAAAACAAAAAAGAAAAGGAAGCAAGTCAAGAAGCACCAAAAATCCATTAAAAAATCTACTTAACTCCATCCAATTGAGAGACAACACTGAAAACCCAAATTAGAAGCTTAGATTAATTACATATTCCAACTGAATTTAAGGATGATAAGGCTACGCGAATTAATGTTCAGGTTTCTTCAATGGAAGAGAAAGAAACAAAATTTTCTTAAAGAATTATTCCTTCTTAGCAAAAAGAAGACAAAAACGAAACATTCTTCCTTCGCGGGGTTCGCATAGCTACAATGCCCATGAGCGGTGGTTTTTGTCCATGATGCCATACTTGGAGATTCAAGAGATGAAACCCTACGACCCACCATCGATGCCTCTTCCCCTCTTCATCCTGGCTTTTATGCAGTTTTGGTTAAAAATTCTGGATTGGAAAATGTAGAGAGTTCGAAACCGCATGGCTTTTGGTAACCACGAAATGGAAAAAGGAGAGACTTGAGGTGTGGTTTTGAGCGGTTACCGAACATCTGAGGTGGCGCTTGGGATCGGTGCGAGGGACGTGGTCGAAATGGTTGTGATTGTGTTGAGTTGAATTATTCTGTATTGTTTAAACGCTACATTAGTGTTTAGCAATTTATTTTTTTAGAAGTATTATATATGATATGTTATATAGTAAATTTTATTAATTATTAATTAAAATTTAAAATATATTTTATAATATATAATTATTAAAATAAATAATATTTATTATTTTTTAATTAAAAAATTATTTTAATTTTTAAAAAATAATTATTAATTATTAATTTTAATCAAATAAATTACATATTTTGAATTATAAATATAAATAATTTTTAATTATGAAATATGAATTATCATTTAAGTTTTATAAGTTTTTTATTATGAGTATCTTTTGGATTTCAAAAAATAACAACTCATAAAAAAATAAATTTTTAATTTTTTATAAAATCT